TCTGTATGTATATTATATATATATATATGTATATGTATGCACACACAGACACATTGCCTCACCAGTCTCACAGGAAAAGAACACCGCCGGGTGGTCACTGTGGCTGCCAGACGAGCGAACTCTGCCGGGCTCACATTGTGCGCAAGTGTCTATGAACGATAGAGGCTCATGCCAACGAGATTTTGGACAACCAAGCATGAGATGTTTGCATAAGGTGTCTGCAAACATCAAGCGGTACACACCTAATAGGCCAAAACTGATCTAGTTGTCCCTTGTGTTAAGCCGGTAACCAGACATATACTGACCAGCAAGTAGGTATCGAACGTATTTCAAACATGTATTATTTCCTGTATCAGCCATTAACTACTCTCTATGATACTGAAAATCGGCTACATGGTTTTCTGCATATTAACAGCTAGGAGTTTCTTGGCCAATGTTACATTTCAAACATCATATGGGTTAAAGCAGCAGCTCGAAACACAGCTTAAGCGCCATACGAGTATTCTACACCATGAAACTCTAAAAACGTCCGATTTTACAAATCTCAGCACAAGAAATTTTCAGGCTTCTGACAGCGATCCCTGAGTACATGCGAGACAAAGAGAGAGAAGACAGTTTGGGGATAGACTTTCGGAATGCAAAGAAGTCCAAACATCGAAAACCTCTAAACAAGCAAGTGTTGAAATTCCTTCCGGAATCAAAGACAGAAAAATCAGAACATTACCGAAACTCAGAATATACCAAACGTTCCCCCAAATGCCGAAACCTACCAACACTTCCACGCCAAAAAATCGAAAACAATCCTCAACAATTATCAAACAACTCTTGGAATTCCTAAATTCCAAAACTTGGTTCCTTAGGTTTGGAATTTGGCTGTTATTCAAGATAGTTGACTTTTTGAAATTGCTGCGTTGGTTTTAAACTAAGCATATCTTAGAAACAGTTGTCTGCTGGCACATGAAATTGGGAAACACAAAAGATCTCATTCGCAAATGATGCTGGAAATCCTTGTGCCCTCCACATGAGCCACGGTCAAAATTACTGGCGTGGCGAAGGGACATTGATCTTGTGGTGATCTTTTTTGTGTTGTGGATCCCCCGTCGTTCTGCAGATCAAACCCCATGTTAGCATAAGATTGTCCGGATTGGATCTTTGCGCGATGGGAAATCCTACCTCTTAACCCAAGCCCTACATTGCATAAGAGTCTCACGCCATGGACCCCATGGATTTTGTCATAATCGTGAAAGCTTCAAACGGTTGGTCCACGACAGGGGTTATCATATACAGACATATTCAAAGGTACGCATATGTATACGTACAATGTGTGTTTGAAGTTGTGTATAGGAGTATGTACATGCACATCTTTCTAGTTGTGTGAATACTATTTACGTACTTGTGTGCGTTTGAAAGCATGCTTCTTCGGCACACATCGAGGACGGTCCTCCGCATCCTCATCGGCATCTTCCACCTTGCTGCATGTGCCCTAAACCCTAAACCCTAAACTTTTTTGGGTTTTGGGCTTTGGGTTTAGGGTTGTGGATCAAACCTGCAAGTTTCGGGTTCAGGCCCTCGCGTTCCCAATTCAGGCTCCAGGGTAATGAACGCTCGATAGAAGGACTGAGCCCAAGAGTTTGGCATCTGGGCCGATTTTGAAGCACTTTCAACCATCTGCTGCACCAAAAATTGTTCCTGCCTCAACACTAAGGGTCCTCCGGAGGGAGCAAAACTAAAGACTGACTCCAAATCAAGTTGATGGATCAGGGATCCACTGGGCAAAGGCGGATGTCCCTGGTCGCATCTAGAGCCTCTAGACTTATTTATACAAGCCGCTTTCTCCCGCCATGTGAACTGTATTTTGAACAGGTCTGGGCTTCGGCATCTACACAACCCTGTATGTGTGTGTATATATATATATAGACATATTTTTCTATAGCCTTTATGTAGGAGCGGCAGGACTTCCGTACTTGCGTGAACAGATCTTCCCACGCGGAAACTCTGCACCGTAATATCCAGCACCCATGAGCAGGGATAAGAATACTAACTGCCGCGCGCCGAATACCTTCGCTGGCCCTTCCTGGCCTCGTCATCGGCATCCTCTTCGGCTGACTCCTGGTACTCTCGCTCTCTCCCTCTCTCTTTCTCTCACTCTCTCCCTGCTTCCCCCACCAAGCCGCATGACAGCCATCAGCTATGGCACCGTCACCATCACCATCACCATCATCGTCGTCAGCATCGTCATCCCCATCACCACGATTGCAGTCCAGAGCTTTGGTACTGGTATCAAATCATTTGCAGGGTCCTCCTCCTGCTTCTCACCTCGGAAGTCACACACTGAACGCACCTTGTCTTGCATAGACGCAGTGACACAGGTTCGCGAAACCTGGCAGATCCAAAATATCGTTTGGCGAGAGCTGCGTGTGTCAGCTATGGTGCAGCTTAGACGACGAATGACGACAACAACAGTAACAAGACACATAGGTAATGGTCAACAGAACCGGAAAATGGAACATCAGCTCAGAGCCAATGCCAAAAGTTGAAGCCACCAGTAGTCCAACCATGTTCAGAAGAAGTAAAGCAACAGCATTGCAGCATCCGCAACAACCGCTACAAGAAGCGAGTTCCGACTTTGTGGATAGCTCTGTGCAGAAGTGCAAGGCCAGGGCATTGCGAGAACTCACTAAGTCAGGGTGCGAAGCCGAAAGGTGAGCCTGGCCTTGGCTAATCCGGTTGAAGTCACGCAATTCGTTGAAGTCGCTGCGAGATTTGTACTGAGTTTGTGCTAATGTAGGGGCCTGAATAATTAGAATGTGGTTTGGGGTACACTATACCACAGTTATAATAAGCAACCCCGAGAATCCTATTCCAATTATTAAAGCCCCTACACTAATCACGCCCGGCATTCTGAAGCTCGGTCAGATGTCGCCTGAGTTGATTCGTACACCCAGCCCGGATCTGACGACTGCGGCTAAGGGGTCTCCTCGTTTTGGGTTTCATCGCTGGGTGCCGAAACCTTAAATGCCCTCCTACGTTTGTACATTGCGCAGGAGTAGGGCAGTAGGCCCCAGTACGTCTACTACGCATAAGCTACAGCCAGGGTAGCTGCTAGCGGACAAGGCCTGCAACTTCGAATAACACTCAATCAAACCTCGCAGTCGATGCTTCGGCAGCATGCTGCCGGCCAAGCGCGGTTGCTACCAGTAGGAGTTGCCAAGACTAGCCGGTTGAGTATCCAAGCCATAGCTGCACAACTCGTCGTAGCAGGCGTAGAAACAGAAGCAGCAGCAGCCGTAGCAGCAGCAACAGTAGCAGCACCCCAGTAGTAGCAGCAGGAGAGGCTATTCCATCGTGAGTGAGCCTGCAAGAAAAAACGATACACAGGCAGCAGAAGTCCTTGCCAGCCACCATATTATGAGACGGCCAAAACAAAGCTTCAGCGATGAAACCTCTCGAATCCTGTGTCATGTGTGGCGGTGCATTTTTGCTACGCCTCCGCAACCAATATCAGCTACCATGAAGCAATGCTTGGAAACTCCAGGGCGAGTTCCTGCCCGTAGGAGTTGCTGTGCACGATGGCCCCAGGATCGAGCTGTGGGTTTTCTGCTACAACAGCCAGCCTGGACGATGTGGGAGTTTCCGACAATTAGGGTACCTTATTCTGGGGTCCTTATAAACAGGATCCTATTATTTAGGGTACTATAGCATATAGGGTCCCCTATTTTTGGAAACTCCCATGTTACGACGTTACACCGAGATGCCACTTAAAAAAACACAGAGCCTGAAGGAAAGGAGAAACAGCTGCCAGTTGTAATCCTGCATGAAACTTTTACACGGCGGGTTGGCTATTCCTGTATGTCCAGTCCTGGTGCTGTAGCAGCTCTTCGGCTTCGACCAGTTAGGGAATGGTGGCTCGAGCCTGCGGCAGGGAGCCCTGGACAAGGAGGACTAGCCACGAATCTGGTAGCCCTAAACCGCCTTGAAGCATCGACGGGGCGTGGCCAACCGGGAGCTTTCTATGTACACAGCCTCGCATAGCACGAGGGCAAGAAGCGAATCGTTGCACCGAAGATTTAAAGGGCTTAGGGTTTAGGGTTGCAGCATCTCCTTGCTTCAGCGCTCAATCGCAATATCCCACAGCTTCCCGACGGGATGGACTCCACGAGCCGAGGCAACTCTCCAAGGACATTTTCGTGCTTCAAGTCCCTTCCTGCAGCTGTGCCCGTCACTTCTTGAAGCTCTTTGTCCAAAAATCTTCCATCTGCTTCTCGTAGACCTGCCAATCAGGAGTACTTGAATCGGGTCCGTCGGTAAACATTCTAGACCTAACTGTCCGGACTCATGGTCTTCAATGTTATGACATGCCGGGCTTCAATTCCGTTGGGCTTAAAAAGGCTTAGGAATAGTATACCCGAATACTATATATGTGCAGGTAAGATGGCACATCCACCAGCCCCTTTAACATCCAGACGGTCGAAGCTGGAGACTGTCTCATGTAGCAAGGGCTGTATATAGTTGGGGTCTGCTCTGAGGGCGGGGATGTTCGACTGCAGGAATCTTGTGAGGGACATGGCCCAGAGTGGCTCGCATTGACGTTGCAGCAACCGCAAGGGTCTGCGTGCGAAGCCCCACGTGTTTCGGGTTTAACTAGCATCTAGTGGCCCCTCAATGGTTTTTCTTTCTGATCTGGGGCTAGAACCTCTTTTGGGAACTTATCTGTGAATTTCGTGCAGGCCTCGATGATGCCGGTGGAATAACCGACCAGAAGATATTTGCCATCGGTGGTCCACCTCCACCGAGCTATAGTTGGTTGAGCCAGGGGCGGGGTGCAACACACTTGAGATCTCTGCAGCGTTCAATTTAGATTGCCGACTACCGGGGCTTGGGACTCCTTTGCACGCGAATTTCCCAACATGACCTGCCCATGGGATACCACAAGTCAGGCAATTATGGATGCACTCTTCTACACGCAAGTCTCAGACCTCGCATGGCGGTGTCGCACTCGGCCATTGGACTTGTGAGTTGGGCCAACTCGTACATTTGAGCAAGCACTTGATTGCACCAGCTCTTCACCGCTCACCTGAATGCACCGTGCTAACCTTTGGTGGTACTAAGATGCCACGAAGATCAAACTGTAATCGATCTTCGGGAATCTTCTGCGACGATCTTCACTTTCGGCATGGAAGCCCTAATACTCCTAGGTTTTGAAAGCGATTACAGGCTTGGGAAAGTTTCCCCAGTAAGCTGCTGGATTTCGCCTCAGAGCCGTGGCGACGCCGCCGCCGCCGGATGAGACAACCTTCACCATCCTCTGATTTTCAGGGGTCTGCGGTTTGAGGTTTAGGGTTTACTTGGAGGATCATGGGACTTAGTAAGGAAGGCTATAAGT